CCACTGCACTCCATCCTAGGCGACAGAGTAAGACACCATCTCAAAAAAAAAAAAAAAAATTGAGATGATATTCACATACTATAAAAGTTGTCACTTAACCATTTTAAAATGTACAAATTGGTTGGGCGCGGTGGCTCACACCTATAATCCCAGCGCTTTGGGAGGTTGAGGCAGGCAGATCACTTGAGGTCAGGAGTTCAAGACCAGCCTAGCCAACATGGCGAAACCCCATCTCTGCTAAAGATACAAAAATTCACCAGGTGTAGGGGCACATTCCTATAACACCAGCTACTTGGGAGGCTGAGGCAGGAGAATCACTTGAACCTGGGAGGCAGAGGTTCCAGTGAGCTGAGATCGTACCACTGCACTCCAGCCTGAGTGACAGAGTGAGACTTTCCCCAAAAAAGGAAAGGCGCAAGTTGTTGGTTTTAGTGTATTCACAATGCTGTATAACCATCCCCACTCAATTCCAGAATATTTCTATTACCCCAAAAAGAAACCCTGTATCTCTCAGTTCCCCCATTGCTCAGATTAGCACGACCACTAATCTGCCTTGTATGTCTGTGAAGTTGTTGATTCTGGACATTTCATTCAAATGGAATCATAGAACACACAATCCTTTATGTCTGGCTCCTTTCACTTGGCGTCATGTTTTCAAGGCTCATCCATGTTGTAGCATGAGGCAGCACTTCACTCTTTTTCTTGGCTGAATAATATTCCATTGTATGGATAGACTACATTTTGTTTATCCAAAAACATTTGTTTTTGGACCACAGTTGTTGATGGACATTTTGGTTGTTTCTACTTTTTGGCTGTTATGAATAATGTTGCTAAAAATATTCACATACAAGTTTTTGTTGAACATACATTTTCACTTGGGTATATCCTTAGGAGCAGAATTGCTGGATCACGTGGTAACTGTGTTTCATTTACTGAGGAACTGCCAGACTGTTTACCAAAGCAGCTGTGTCATTTTACACTCCCATAAGCAGTGTGTGGGGGTTCTGGTTTCCCTACATCCTTGCTAACACTTGTTATTGTCTGTCTTTGATCGCCATGCTAGTGGCTCTGCAGTGAGGTCATTTGATTGAAGTTTTGTAGACGCCAACTCTGGTGTCTGTGTGTAGGATGAAAGCAGCCGGCTGGTGTGTCAGATGTGTCAGATGTGTCAGATGATCCAGCCAGAATAATTGACCTAAAAGCATGTTAAAGATATGCAGGCTCGATGCAGTGGCTCACACCTGTAGTTCCAGAACTTTGGAAGGCCAAGGTGGGAGGATCGCTTGAGGCCAGGAGTTCAAGACCAGCCTGGGGAGCATGGCAAAACCTTGTCTCTACAAAAAACACAAAAATGGCCAGGCGCAATGGCTCACTTTCAGAGGCCGAGGTGGACAGACCACCTGAGGTCAGGAGTTTGAGACCAGCCTGGCTAACATGGTGAAACCCTGTCTCTACTAAAAATACAAAAAAATCAGCCAGGAATAGTGGCAGGCGCCTATAATCCCAGCTAGTTGAGGGGCTGAGGTAGGAGAATTGCCTGAACCCTGGAGGCAGAGGTTGCAGTGAGCAGAGATTGGCCGTGGCACTCCAACCTGGCCAACAAGAGCGATACTCTGTCTCAAAAAAAAAAAAAAAAAAAAAACACCCACAAAACCCCAAAACACAAAAATTAGCTGGGCTTGGTGGCATGTGTCGGTAGTCCCAGCTACTCAGGAGGCTGAGGTGGGACAGATCACTTGAGCCTAGGAGTTTGAGGCTGTAGTGAGCCAAGATCACACCACTGCACTCCACTGCACTCTGTCAGGGCAACAGAGTGAGATCCTGTCTCAAAAAAAAAAAGAAAGAACAGAAAAAAGAAAGCAGGAACAGTCATCCAGCCCCACTCCCTTGGTATTTCTGTGATGGTCAAATGGAGCAATGAATGTTCAAGTGCTTTGCAGAGGGACAGCTGCTCTGGACTCTGAGGGAGGCTGCTGACTGCAGTTGGCATGGGGAATTATGCCCATTTCGGTCTCTGAGCTGCACACAGGCTTCCAGAGAGTGGTGATAGGGCACATTTGTTATAAGTGACCTAAGTGACAAATGTAACTCTAGCTGTCCTAAGCAAAAGGGAATTCATAGGCTTAGGTCGTAAGTTCAGCATGTAACCTCCAGGGACAAGTATGTCTGGATGCTCCAAAGTGATCTTGAGAAGTTGAGTCTGTTTCTCCTTTCTGCTTCCCACTTCCACTCCCTCTTTCCGCTTCATTCTTGGCAGGCTTCTCCCCATGGGAGGGTAGGGAGGGTGGGTGAAGAAGGGGCCCACAGCAGCTTCAGGCGTCTATCCTGCCAGCTCAGGGTCCTTCCCAAACCCTCGGTTGTTCCCTTAAATGCCTCTGGATTGGCTCTGACAGTCTTAGCACAGCCTTGAGCCAAACTGGAGCTGCTGACTGGGGTCAGCCCAGCAGAACCACGTGGACTGAAAGTGGGGAAGCAGTGATTCTCCAGGGTTGCTGGGTGACATAAACACAGCCCTAACAGACGTGAGTTCTGCTTTGGAGGGCAGTGTGTGGGGAAGGCTGGGCCAGCCCTCCCCTCCCAGTCATTGCGGGGTCGAAGCCTCTGTCTTGCAGCCTGTCTTCCAGTGTCTTACCTTGCCCTGGGCGCTGCACCATGGGAGGTGGCTGTTTGAGAAAGGGACTTGTGCACTACCAGGTGTTCAGGTCACAACTTGGGGCTGCAGACTCTTCTCTAATGTCTTAAAATCAGGCTTTTCTCCATCAGCAGTCTGTTCTAAGCTCCAACCTTTTTTTTTTTTTTTTCCAAAAAGGCAGTTTCCATTTCTGTAACACTGTACCCTTAAAAAAAACCCATTCATTGAAG